AACTCTGGGGACCCAAAGAGCCCCAGCTTCCGTTTTGAAATCTGGGAACTTCTGAATGAAAGGCATATAAGACCTGCTCTACAGGGTGTGCCAAGTGTCTTATTGAAAGAAGGACTCGCTTCACTCCCAGTAGAAGAGCCTGCTCGGAGCTGTAAGCCAGAAGCTCATGTCCGGAGACTACAGGGCGGGGAATCAGCAGCCACCTGAGCCCGAGGCTGCGACTTGGGTGCTTTGGGAGTTAGTTTTACTCACTCTGCTTGGGTTTAAAGTGATGCTCACTTTCACAAAACCTCTAGGGAACCTGCTGTACGTCCAGTCTCAGTGCCCAGATCCGGAAAGAGCTAAAATATTTACATGAAAACAAGGCTGCGCGCTTTGGAAGGTCCCAGTGCCTCCACCCACCCACCCCCCACCCCCTCTCCAGACCAAGGAACTTGCAGAGGCCTCCTTGCCACCCTGAGATAAGCAGAAACCTTTGTTCCACGCAAAGGCCAAGCCCTGCACCCTCGCTGGCCCTGTGACTGAGGACACTTGCCACAAACCAGCTTATCAGTGTGTGAGTGTGGCGGGGGGGAAGGGGGGTACAGCTGCACTGCAGCTCAATGAAGCTTTGGAAGAAAGTTGTGAAGTGTGTCTACCCTTCCCTGGTGCCGGTGAGAGCTCTGTGCCGGGTATGAGCCGGAGAAACTGCCTTGGCCCAGGGTTCTCAGTGGGGAGGGGCCAGTTTTGAGCTGTGAGGACGCTGGGCAATGTCTGCAGACATTTTGGGAGTCACAGGGGGCGGGGGCATCCAGTAGGTGGCAGCTAGGGTGCTGCTGACCCTCCCACAGAGCACAGGCCGCCCCGCAGCCCGCGCTGTCAGTGCCCAGGAAGCCCCGCCTGTACCATCTGCCCACCGTGAGCGGGGAGCTGTTGGCACACTTTTTGCAACTGGACTTACTGGTAAATTGTGACTTTAAATCATAGCATTTTAGCGGTCAGCCTTTTGACACCTCTATTTTACCTTTTGAATGTAGGCGAGGAATCTCTGAAGCTGCCGCTGATGTTGAATAGGGCAAACCCCGGTGTCAGAGTGGCTCTCACGGGTGTGTCACCGGGTTCTGAAAGCCCGTTTCACTTACTTCCCGGGAAGCACCGGTGTTAGGAGGCCGGCTGCGTGGCCTGTGCTTAGCCATTCGGTGGACAAGTCTGAGCCCAAGGTCTGAGCGCACAGTATTAACACACCCCGCAGACCCATACAAACTACCATCACCCGGCATGAGGTTTTCTAGTTAAAAAAAACCCTCAAAACTTAAATTCTCAAAGTGCCAAGGAACTGCAGTAATTAACTAGCGAGAATTAAGTCAGTTCACCAAATGTGAAGCTTATATATCTGTGTAACTTAAAGAGCAGGTGCAGCGTATCGCATGCTGACGGGACATGTTCAGAGGAAGCGAAGGGCCCTCTGACTCGGGTGACGGTTCCCTGCTGTGAGCGGAGCCCCCGGCGGTTCGTCCTGAACCGCCCCGCTCCTTGCTCCGGGTGGAGACCATTGTCCTACCTTCTCCCCCTGCATCGCCATGTGGCTCAAGACGCAGACAAGCACCAGGTGTGAGAAGCGTCCAGGTGCCCGGCCTCCTGGGTGCGGACCTGGCCCCTCCCGCACCCGCCTGCTCATAGCCGCGCGGGGGCTCACACAGCCCTCCGAGGAGTGTGAGGGGGGCCGGAGGGTGGACCCAAGTGGGAGGGGTTCCGACAGGCAGTGTCCGGGCCATGCCGCCTGTCCACGCCCGCTCCTTCGTCTCTCAGCCCCCCGGACACCCTGCCCCGGTCCTGCACTGGGACCCGCACACTCACCCGTCTGCCGGCTCCGGACCGGCTGCTGGGCGCCCTCCTCACCGGGGCTCCGGGGCTCCCACCATCCGCGCAGCAGGGGACCGAGGCTGGAGCCACAGCTGTGGGTGCGGGCCAGGCCCGGCTTGGGAGGGTGAATGCTGCCTCGCCCGCACCATCGGGAGAGCCGCACCCCGAGGCCCAGCCAAGTCAGACAGATTCCAATGGAGAGGCGTGTCCCGCCTCAGCTGCAATCCTCCAAACACTGAAACTCGGACCCGTGGACTTTGCCTGGGTCTAGTTATGAGTTCGTTCCTCCTGCAGACTGAACGGTGGCATTAGCTGGGCTCCCCCGTCCCCGGAGAGCCAGGGCAGGGCGCGGCCCGGTGACAGGACACAGGTCAGCCCCCACAGCAGCTCCCTTCCCCGGGTCTGCCTCCACCCCTCCCGCTGCCTCTTAGACGTCAAGGACCCCGGCCCGGCCCGGCCCAGGCCCAGGTCTCAGAAGACGGTGCTCACAGGCTGAGAGCTGGAAGCAGGGCTGAGGCCCAGTGAGGAGGGCACCCAGCAGCCGGGTCCCACCCTCGTCTTGCTGAGGAGACGAGATGGGGGAGGCGGGAGAAAGGACTGGCCTTCTCCGGCAGCACAGCCCAGGCCCAGGCCCCTGTGTGCCCTCAGTGCCGCCCGGTTCTTCATCCCCTTTTGCTGGGAAATAAAGAGCTTAACGACCCCCGATAGCGACCAAAGAAACTGAGTAGGCTTCTCAGCACAGTGTTTGGGCACAAAATTATAGCACCGAGCTTGTAGGCACATTTACGGATGTGGGTTGTTCAGGTTGAGTTTCCCCTTAAGTCAGTTTTTCTTGAATCGCCGTGGAGTAGCCCTGGGCCCGAAGATCTATTCTTGGGGATTCAAGAGCTCCCAGAACAACTTCATTTTCGGAGTTCATTTCGGTGTAAAACACACGCACATGCGAGATGAGGGTAAGGTTTAAACTGACTTTTCCCTGCAGTGTCTCCCCTCACCTGTCGTGATCAGCCTGCATTTGGAGATCTAACTTGAGGTGACGTTCATGTAATTCACAAAGTGAGACCCCTGGTATTCCCAGTGCCCACCTGACAACATATTAGTTATTACAATATTATTGGCTCCATTCCCTATGCTGTACCTTACACCCTCCATTCACCCCCATGACTATATCTATCTCCCAACCTGTACTCTCAATCCCTTCACCCTTTTCTCTCAGGCCCCAACCTCTCCCCTCTTGCGACCATCAGTCTGTTCTCTGTATCTGAGTCTGTTTGCTTATTTTATCACTTAGATTGCACATAGAAGTGAAGTCATGGCATTTGCCTTTCCCTGTCTGACTTATTTCACGTGGCTTAATACCCTCTAGGTCCATCCATGCTGTCGCAAAGGGTAAGATTTTGTTCTGGAGGTTGCTATTCTTAATGTGAGCATGTTCCCTCCACCTCTCAGTGTGATAAAGACCCTTCCCCCTGTGGAGGGTGAAGGGTGTGAAGACAAGAGAAAAAAGTAAACATTGGTGTCTCCTTTCCCTGTCTGCCTCCATACCCCAGGGCGGACAGCGCCCCCTTCCCTCTGTTGCGGGAATGGCAGCGGTGCCCACAGCCTTCCCTCCCCACAAAGCTGCAGGGCATCAGCAAAAGGAAGGCAACAACCAACACCCCCTCCACCTCTTCCCCCACGCCCACCCTTCTACCCCTCACCCCTCACTGCCCCCCCAGCCCCCTCCCACACACACCCCGGTAAGAAGAGGTGGCCCGGGAAGGCTCAGGGACTGTAATGGAAGTTCACTGCCTAAAATGCTGGCACGGAATGATACAGCAGGGGAGAGAGATGGTGGGGATATGATGGTGCTTACAGTGACCACCGGGGGCATTACAGTGCTTGACTTAAAAATTAGGAACCATTATAGGAAAATGCAGAATTTTTTCAACCCAGACTTGTGAAAATGTTCTACCCGCTGCACATATTCCCTAACCCCTTGAAGATGGACATAGTGTTGGAACCCGGGAGTCTGCATTCTGTTTATGGTTCAGTCACCAGGGGCCCATGCATCTACACGGCCACCAGAGGGCAGCAGAGGCACACTCACCGTCTGGCCTTCTAGGACTTTTCTTCCAAAGGTGATTCACTCACAGATGTTTCCTCCTCCACATGCTATTGTCATGTGTGACCCACATGAAGGCTCCCTCAGCCAGTAAATGGCAAAAGGAGCCCTGAGCTTAGGATGTCTGAGATTTTAATTCTACTTTTGCTATAAATTTGGACAAGATTTATTTGGATAAGTCTATTTCTGGGGCTTCAATGTCCTTAGCTTTAAAATAGCAACACTACTCAGTCATAAAAGGAAAGGAAATCTTACCCTTTGCGACAGCATGGATGGACCCGGAGAATATTGTGCTAAGTGAAATAAGCCAGCCAGAGAAAGGCAAGTACCATATGATTCCACTCATATGTGGAATCTAATAAACTAAGAGTGGAAACAGACTAGGGATACAGAGAACAGATTGGCAGCTGTCAGAGGGGAGGGGGAGGGTGAGAAGGGAGAAAGGATTAAGTAAAAATTTAAAAAAATGAAAGACTCATGAGCACAGACAACAGTATGGTGATTGCCAGAAGGAAGGGGGTGGGGGAAAGTAGAAGAGGGTAAAGGGAGGATAAATGGTGATGGAAGGAGACTTGACTTGGGATGGTGAACACACAATGCAATATGCAGATGATGCACCGTAGAATCGTATACTTGAAACTTACATAATTTTATTAGCCAACATCACTCCAATAAATTGAACAAAAACAAAATAGTGGTAATATGTACACAACTCACATTAAAATATTCTTAAAAGAGTAGTGGGAGAATATAATCATGACACAAAGTCCCAACCTAGTTATAAGATTTTATTGGGAGTGAAAGCCATGGAAAGAAGGTAGACTGAAACAACAGAGAAGGTGAATAAAATAAGAATAGAACATTAATGTAGGAGGGCATCAGGTTCTCGGTATGAGTCAGAGGAGCTCAGGTGATGCCATCAGCTCAGGTCTTGGGGACTCGGTGATCAGGTCGGGTCTTGGGGGCTTGGTGATCAGGTCGGGTCTTGGGGGCTTGGTGATCAGCTCGGGTCTTGGGGACTTGGTGATCAGCTCGGGTCTTGGGGACTTGGTGATCAGTCAGGTCTTGGGGGCTTGGTGATCAGCTTGGGTCTTGGGGACTTGGTGGTCAGCTCGGGTCTTGGGGACTTGGTGATCAGCTCGGGTCTTGGGGGCTTGGTGATCAGCTTGGGTCTTGGGGACTTGGTGATCAGCTCGGGTCTTAGGGACTTGGTGATCAGCTCGGGTCTTGGGGACTTGGTGATCAGCTCGGGTCTTGGGGACTTGGTGATCAGGTCAAGTCTTGGGGGCTTGGTGATCAGCTTGGGTCTTGGGGGCTTGGTGATCAGCTCGGGTCTTGGGGGCTTGGTGATCAGCTCGGGTCTTAGGGGACTTGGTGATCAGGTCGGGTCTTGGGGACTTGGTGATCAGCTCGGGTCTTGGGGACTTGGTGATCAGCTCGGGTCTTGGGGCTTGGTGATCAGCTCGGGTCTTGGGGCTTGGTGAGCAGCTCGGGTCTTGGGGACTTGGTGATCAGCTCGGGTCTTGGGGACTTGGTGATCAGCTCGGGTCTTGGGGACTTGGTGATCAGCTCAGGTCTTGGGGGCTTGGTGATCAGGTCGGGTCTTGGGGGCTTGGTGATCAGGTCGGGTCTTGGGGGCTTGGTGATCAGCTCAGGTCTTGGGGACTTGGTGATCAGGTCGGGTCTTGGGGGCTTGGTGATCAGCTCGGGTCTTGGGGGCTTGGTGATCAGCTCGGGTCTTGGGGGCTTGGTGGTCAGCTCGGGTCTTGGGGGCTTGGTGATCAGCTCGGGTCTTGGGGACTTGGTGATCAGGTCAGGTCTTGGGGCTTGGTGATCAGGTCGGGTCTTGGGGGCTTGGTGATCAGCTCGGGTCTTGGGGGCTTGGTGATCAGCTCGGGTCTTGGGGGCTTGGTGGTCAGCTCGGGTCTTGGGGGCTTGGTGATCAGCTCGGGTCTTGGGGACTTGGTGATCAGGTCAGGTCTTGGGGGCTTGGTGATCAGGTCGGGTCTTGGGGACTTGGTGATCAGGTCGGGTCTTGGGACTTGGTGATCAGGTCAGGTCTTGGGGGCTTGGTGATCAGGTCGGGTCTTGGGGACTTGGTGATCAGGTCGGGTCTTGGGGGCTTGGTGATCAGGTCAGGTCTTGGGGGCTTGGTGATCAGGTCGGGTCTTGGGGACTTGGTGATCAGGTCAGGTCTTGGGGGCTTGGTGATCAGGTCGGGTCTTGGGGGCTTGGTGATCAGGTCGGGTCTTGGGGGCTTGGTGGTCAGGTCGGGTCTTGGGGGCTTGGTGATCAGGTCGGGTCTTGGGGACTTGGTGATCAGCTCGGATCTTGAGGACTAGGTGATCAGGTCGGGTCTTGGGGGCTTGGTGATCAGCTCAGGTCTTGGGGACTAGGTGATCAGGTCAGGTCTTGGGGACTAGGTGATCAGGTCGGGTCTTGGGGGCTTGGTGATCAGCTCGGGTCTTGGGGACTTGGTGATCAGCTCGGGTCTTGGGGGCTTGGTGATCAGGTCAGGTCTTGGGGGCTTGGTGATCAGGTCAGGTCTTGGGGACTTGGTGATCAGGTCGGGTCTTGGGGACTTGGTGATCAGCTCGGGTCTTGGGGACTTGGTGATCAGGTCAGGTCTTGGGGGCTTGGTGATCAGGTCGGGTCTTGGGGACTTGGTGATCAGCTCGGGTCTTGGGGACTTGGTGATCAGGTCAGGTCTTGGGGACTTGGTGATCAGCTCAGGTCTTGGGGACTTGGTGATCAGGTCAGGTCTTGGGGACTTGGTAATCAGCTCGGGTCTTGGGGACTAGGTGATCAGGTCGGGTCTTGGGGGCTTGGTGATCAGCTCGGGTCTTGGGGACTTGGTGATCAGGTCAGGTCTTGGGGACTTGGTAATCAGCTCGGGTCTTGGGGACTAGGTGATCAGGTCGGGTCTTGGGGGCTTGGTGATCAGCTCGGGTCTTGGGGACTAGGTGATCAGGTCGGGTCTTGGGGACTAGGTGATCAGGTCGGGTCTTGGGGGCTTGGTGATCAGCTCGGGTCTTGGGGACTAGGTGATCAGGTCGGGTCTTGGGGGCTTGGTGATCAGCTCGGGTCTTGGGGACTAGGTGATCAGCTCGGGTCTTGGGGACTTGGTGATCAGGTCGGGTCTTGGGGACTAGGTGATCAGGTCGGGTCTTGGGGACTAGGTGATCAGGTCGGGTCTTGGGGGCTTGGTGATCAGGTCGGGTCTTGGGGACTCGGTGATCAGCTCGGGTCTTGGGGGCTTGGTGATCAGGTCGGGTCTTGGGGGCTTGGTGATCAGGTCAGGTCTTGGGGGCTTGGTGATCAGGTCGGGTCTTGGGGGCTTGGTGATCAGCTCAGGTCTTAGGGGCTTGGTGATCAGCTCGGGTCTTGGGGGCTTGGTGATCAGCTCAGGTCTTAGGGGCTTGGTGATCAGCTCGGGTCTTGGGGGCTTGGTGATCAGGAAGGGTCTTGGGGACTTGGTGATCAGCTCGGGCCTTGGGGACTTGGTAGAAACCTTTGTTGACAGTTGTCAGGTCAACTCACCAGAAAGAATAATTATTCATTTCACGGAGTCCCCGGCATTGGGCCTACACATGTAGAGTTCCCTCGAGGAGAGAACAGGGAATCCTCAGCCCCCATACGCCTGTGTCACAGCAGAGCGTCACCCTACAGGCCTCTGGGTTTGTTTCCTACCTGCAGGGGAGACGGATTGACTGAGCCCTGAGATGCCCACCCAAATGCAGGTCAGAGGCCTGGCGTTCCCAGGAAAAGAAAAAGAAGGTTGAGGCTCAAAGGTAGATGATGGCCTTCCTTCCTCAGTATGGCCACTTGGGGAGGGGATTGGGACCCTCTGTCCCTCCCTCCCCCATCAGTCTTTATGCTCTGCCTGACTCTCATTGTTGCTGGTGTTTGGAAGAAGCCTGAGGCCTTGAAATGTTGTTTAAAACAGTGTTTCCTAGATTTGTTTCTCTTGCAAATAAATGCTTCTGACACAAATAAAAGGTAGTTGGTTTTGAGAGTGGGGAGTGATTACCTCACACTGAGGTTTTAGGAGTCCAGGTCACCCATTACAGTGGCAGTAAGGGTGGAAGTGGGTCCTAGAGGGCTCTGTGTGCAGGAGGACAGGGGCAAGTCAACAGCCCACCTCTGGGAAGGCTGCACCCACAGGGTGCTGGGCTTCAGGGTGTAAATCGCCTGGAGACTAGCTATTCAGTGAGAGAAACAAGTTACTCTGTGATATCTCGGGGTCCATGGGGTGGAGGTGATGTGGGGATAAACTCTCAGGAGACAGCTCAGGGACTGCCTGGTGTGTAGCCTCCTCGCCCTCGCCTACCTCACCCAGTCTTGCCTTGGCCTCCGCAGGGCACCGTGGGCTTGGGATTTGGCTGCCACCTGAGATCCCCCTGGCTTAGGGCAGGGACAGTGTCCATCCCACTAAGAGGGAAGCACCACAGTGCCATCTGGCAAGGCCCACGGAAGAAAAAGCAAAGTGAGACCCTGTGGATGGAGGAGTCTTGGGAAGGAGAATGAAGAAGAGGGTGGTTTTGATAGTTCATGCCAGCAGAAGCATAACTTTAAAGCTGTAATGGCCCCCAAGACTCCATCGACAACCAGCTTTCTTAACAAAATATCCTCATGTTATAGATTACCCACCAGAATACATCCAAAATAAAGAAAGAAAAGGAAAGAAAAAAAGAAAAGAAAAGAAAAGAAAAGAAAAGAAAAGAAAAGAAAAGAAAAGAAAAGAAAAGAAAAAAGAAAGAAAAGAAAAAAGTAAAGAAAAGAAAAGGGAAGACACGCAGTAGAACTTTCTCACTTAGGGGATGGAACGAGGTCATTCCTGGTTCGGATGAACCTGCAGTCTAAGCTGCAGAGCTGGCTGTGCTGTCGGAGTGATCGCCGTCTTAGAATCCAAAAGTGTCTGATAAACCAATTCCTCTGAAAGATTGAAACGTTTAAATGAAAAAGTTACAAAAGTGTGAAATGACTATCATGCGTGATCTTTTAAAAATGATAAAATTATGTGAAACTGATTCCACGCAGGCTCGGCCTGCAGGAGTGGAGTTCCCGGGAAGAGGTGAGGACATGGGTGAAACACACCTGTCAGTCCCAGCCACCCGCAAACCAGAGCAGCGCAGGCGCTAGAATGGGGGTTGGGCCCCGCACACTCCCCCCGGACCTGAAATGCACTCACAGAGATCGCCGGGCAGGTCGCACACTGGAGGAAAGAGAACCTTCCGAATGTAGGGAGGAAGAGGGTTAAGGAAAAGCACCCCAGCGCCCAAGCCTCCTGCATTCATCCGCACACCCTGCCACGCTCCTTGGTTCACACAGTACCCGGCCCTCTTGATGTCACGCCAAGAGGACTGTTGCAGTTCCGCATATGACCACCAGAGGGCGTGCCTGTCCACGAACCTGCACCAGGTGTCCAGGAGGCAGACCGACTTCACCCTGAGCGGGGAGGACTGAGTTGTGTCTCCTAAAGTCCCAGATCGTAACTTCCCATCTCCTCCTTTCAAAATTGTGCGGAATGGGAGCGGGAATAATGGAAAACTGCTGCTGCGAATATGCTTCAATCTCCTTGGAGGCCCCAGAGAAATTCAGTGATGGCATGGAGAGGGGCGGGGAGCCATGGAGAGGTTGAAGGGGAGGCAGAGGCCAGAGGCAAGGCTGCCTCCTTAGCCTACCTTCCTGGTCATCATGCGTCATTGCCGGCACTCTCCAGGAGCAACGCAGAAAACACTAGAGGGAAGGACATAGGCACTAAATTATAGCAACTCGGCTACTGAGGAGGCAGCCAGCAGCATGGGCGCAGCTGGTGCATGGGATGGCGCTGCCAGGCGAAAGTGCTGGGTGCGGGCGCAGGGCGTTCCCGGTTAGGGACACGGTGCTGTCACTATCAGGGGATGTGTGCTCAGGATGCATGAGAACAAGGAGTGCTGGCAGAGAGAACGGAAATCTACCCCTTGTAGGATATGCTGGCGGTGAAAATGACTTAACCCGAGAGCGGGAATTGGTGGCTGCTTAGTTCCATGATCATGTTTAAAATATTTAACTAACTGACTGGTTGTAATAAAACATAAAATTGGTTATGAGAAACGATTTTTAAAATGTACTTTAAAGTTTTAAGTAAGCAGGACTTATACCTCAAAATGATATTTTAAATGGGCCAAGCAGATCACACCATTTCCGACTCCTTTGGGCAAAGAATAAACTTTGCAGCCTGGAAAACAATTTTATGTTTACACAGAAAACCCTAAGGAAGTTATCAAAATGTCCAGGATGTGTGAATTTAACAATGGCAGTTTACAGAAACAGTTATAATTCTATATACTAGCAGCAGAATGCTGCATATAAAAAGTAATTTTATTACAATAGCAATAAAATACTTAGAGATGAATTTAACCAAACGATGTGTGCTGTCTCTACAAAACAGTGTAAACTACAAAGCACTGATGAGAGGCACTAGTGAGATCCCCAAGGGGTCCTGGATTGGAGAGGTGCTCAGGGTCCCCAGCTGTCCGGGTGGTGGGTGCTCAGGGTCCCCAGCTGTCCAGGTGGTGGGTGCTCAGGGTCCCCAGCTGTCCAGGTGGTGGGTGCTCAGGGCCCCCTCCTGCCCGCATGGTCAGTGCTCAGGGTCGGTGCCTCCCCGGGCTGCTGGCATGAGCTCAGGAGAGGAGCCACTGCTGGATCTGGTCCCGGCCTGGGAGAGACCTGTACGCTCTTCTTTCCGTTGCATGAGGACAAACTGTAACTTGTAGGGTTGAGATCTGATTAGAGTTTTTAAGAACTTTATCCTCTAAGGTCCTCACAGCATTTCACAGGCAGCGACTGTGAAAACCTCCCTCTCTCCAGAGGTTTTTACCCTGGGTAAAAGTGGACTTTCAGTACCCTGGAGAGAGGGAGGTTTCAGGAAGAGCCGACCTCCTCTTTTATTAAGGAAGCCATTGCCGTCTCCAGGGAAATGGTCACCCTTTTTAAACACACACACACACACACACACACACAGTTTTTATTGATTTTAGAGAGAGGAGAAAGAGAGAAGGGAGAGAGAAACATGGATGTGAGAGAGAAACATTGATCAGTTGCCTTCCGTATCCATCCTGACAGGGGATCAAACACAAAACCTAGGTGTGTGTCCGACCGGGAATGGGACCTGCAACCTTTTGGTGTATGGAGGACGCTCCAGCCACGGAGCACCGGGTCAGGGCGTTTACTGTTTGTAGCACGTTATTCCCGAGCTAAGCTGGGCTTTCTCCCTCCGACACCGGATTGTGCAGGACCTCTGCTCCCTCAGGTGTCTGCTCATCACCTCCATGCCCCGCCCTCCTGTGCACCTGGACGGGACCTTTAATGAAAGGTGAAGCAGGGACAAGAAAGAACGTACAGAATGAAAGAAAGAGGGGGCGGGGGGAGCTGACAAGGTATGACTTCCCCAGCATTACACATTCCAGCTGCTTGTGGAGAAGGAGGCATTGGGAGGTGATACGTTCCACATCTGAACATGGGTTTCAGTCGGTCTTGAAATGCAGACTACACACACCGTTTTACCACCATGGGTGAGAGTTAATAAAGCTAACGTGATTTCCCCCAAAACTTCTTTATTTACTGTCCCTGCAAACAAGTGTTGGCTCACATAATTTTCAGTTTGAGGAGTCCTCGGGGATAATTTTTAATGATCGATCTGTCTGCACGAGCAGGGGCATGCGGGACGACACTGGAAATACCTCTAGATTCCAGCCACTTTCCCACATTTTGTGAAGAGACTGATGAGGTGGGTGTCACTGATCAGCAGCAGGACAGAGCTGAGAGTCAGGAAAACGTCAAACAGAAAAGCAGTGCTGCCCCTGGCGGTGCTGGGAAGTACTCTCTGACAGAGGATAAAAAAGGGAGCAGGTGACTAAAACAGGAAAGGAGAGGCCGGGGCATGGAAATGTTTGTTGTAGCTCTTTGCTAATGGGAGGACCTTTGGAAAAGGCTAGAAATCCGAATGTTTCATTTTCTGACGACGCCTTTACAACAGGAGCACGGGCAGCTGCAGCCGCGCCCTGTGAACCAGGAACAGGCAGCAAAAAGGAGGCAGTTATTCCATTTTTAGAAGCAAAGAAAGCAAATCAATAGCCTCAACTTTTTTACGTCGCTGGTGTTTTTCTCTTCTGTAGATGAGTCATCCAGGTGCAAACCCTGACAGGTGCCCGGGGGCAGAAGAGCCAGGTGGACAGGCATGAGGGCCCGGTGTACGTGGAGGCCCGGAGTTTTCTCTGCTCACCTAGAGCTGCTGGCTGAGGCACAGGCAGCCCGGAAAGCACTTGGGCAGGTCGTGGGGAGGGCAAGCCTGCAGCGAATCCCATGAAGGTCGAACACACCTTCACATCCAAAACCATCCAGGTGTGTATCCAGCCCCAACGAACCCACTGTCTGCATCACCCCCTTGAATAAGAGCAGCAAGATATTGGCCCAGACCAGGTGGGACAGAGGCACGTCTGCAAATGACTTGCTAACCGCAAAGGCCAGAAAATGTGGAGGCAAAACAGAGGGTGCTTCCCGGGTCCCGGCTGTGGTGAGAGGGGCGTAGTGCTGTTCGTCACGGGGAGGGGAAGCTGAGGTTCAGGGGAAGCCCGACAGGAAGCTGCGGCAGCTCCAGGTGACTCTGAGATGTGTGTTCCTTTTCATGTGGCTCAGTTCCCGTTGCACAAACACACTCACACCATGTATCCTCTTGGCGTGTCCATGTCCAAGGGGCCGGAGGGACACATTTTAAACTCATGGCTCACAAAAAGGAGGGGCCCCTTGGGTAAAAGTGGACTTTCAGTACAAACCTGAACGTCTAGTACGGACGATGAGCTAGAAATAGACAATCCCTCACAGGGACTGAAGGTCACATTTTAATTGATTCAATCTTGATTGGAGTCCCTTGGTGTGAGGCAGCGGTGCCTTGCTGGCCGATGGAAGCAAACCTAAATGACCTCTAGGGAAATATGACCTCATCTGGAGTCTCTAAGCATTTCTCATATTTTCCTTTTACAAAGACCTCAATTTTTTAAAAAGGCATATAGGGGCCTGGGTGCAGAAGAGCCAGGTGGACAGGCATGAGGGCCCAGGAGCCAAAAGGGGACCCAGAATAAACAGGGGAGAATATCAGAAAATAAGAGCAGACTAACGGGACTCTGACTTCCGTGTAGGTGCAGTGGTCAGCAAACTGCGGCTCGCGAGCCACATGTGGCTCTTTGGCCCCTTGAGTGTGGCTCTTCCACAAAATACCACGTGCAGGCGCGCATGTACAGTGCGTTTGAAACTTTGTGGCCCATGCACAGAAGTCGTACTCGAAAGGGAAGGGAGAGCTGTGCACGCACCATGGATGGATGAAATAATATTCCATCCTTTCGAGTGAGCTACAGTCTCCAGCTGTCCCCACCACCCAGGGGCTATTTGCGATTCCTCACTCAGGCTAAGGAGACGACTTGGACCCCACAGAGGAACAGCTGCTGGAATCAGGTAAGATGTCGGCGATGACACAGGGATGGAATGAGAAAGCAGGAATAGGGGGGCTCAGATTCACGCCAGAGTCCCCCACAGGTGATTTCTTGAGCGTTGGTGGGCACAGGGCTGAGCTCCAGACCTGAGGCTGCAGAGGCAGACGGGGTCTCTGCCCGTTGTCCGAGCTCAGGACTCTCTCAGGCCCGTGGTGGGAGCTCCCCGAATACAAGCCAGATCTTGAAGCTCCCTGGGGAGGGAGGCGGGAGGGCCAGCACACACTGAAGTTTGGAGCCCACTCTTTCTCTCTGACATTTGAAGAGACAGAGACCCACCCAGGTTATAAAAGCTCCGGGAGGGTAGTGCTGGCCTCTGGTATTGGGGAGGTGACTTGTAATGAAATAACCCTCTTGCTGGTAGCAATTATATGTTCCGATCCACCTCTTTCTCCAGTTAATTTTATTTTTCATTCTTGTGGTAAGAACACCACATGAGATCTACCCTCTTAACCAGCTTCTAAGTGTGCCGCACAGTACTGTGCGCTGTAGGCGGGACTCTGCACAGCCGGTCTCTGTAACTTTCTCTGGCAGAACAGAAACTCTGTGCCCGTTGAACAGCAACTCCCATCCCCGCCCCCATCCCCTGGACGCCGCCCTCCTGCTCTCTGCCTCTATTGGTTAGACTATTTCAGATCCTCATGTAGGTGGAATCATGCAGCATCTGTCCTTCCGTGACTTATTTCACTTAGCATGTCCTGCGAGTTCATGCATGTTGTCATATGTAGCGGGACTTCCTCCTTCTTTAAGGCTGAATGGTGTCCGTTGTGTGTGTACACCACAGTCCTATCCACTCATCTCATAGTGCAGATTTGTTTCTCAGCCTGAGTCTCACCTGCAGTTCTGGGCCCCTGTGGTCTTGTGGCGGCAGCACAACCAGGGCCAGAGTCTCTTGTTCAACCCTAATCGGCTCAGGTCGGTTCAGAGGGCGCTACCCGACGGTCTTGGGGGGCTGTCCTTCTCCCCTTTCTGTCTCCAGGGCTACTGCTCATGGCTCCAGTCATGTCACAGCTCAAAGTCCTCTCAGTTAATGTGATGTGACTGATCAATAGCCTCTCTCTCTCTCTCCTTCTCTCTCTCTCTCCCTCTCTCCCTCTCTCTTTCTCTCTCAAATGTGGGCTGCATGGTGAGTAGATCTCAGTTATTCTTCCTGAGCTTGGCCAACCTCT